TCTTTTTCGTCAATTTCAAACAATATATGTTGTTGCTTGATAGATTTTTTGGAGTGGACTATTTTTTTATTAATTATTGTAATTTATTGTTTCTTTTTCGTCAATTTCAAACAATATATGTTGTTAATTGATAGATTTTTTGGAGTGGACTATTTTTTTATTAATTATTGTAATTTATTGTTTCTTTTTCGTCAATTTCAAACAATATATGTTGTTAATTGATAGATTTTTTGGAGTGGACTATTTTTTTATTAATTATTGTAATTTATTGTTTCTTTTTCGTCAATTTCAAACAATATATGTTGTTAATTGATAGATTTTTTGGAGTGGACTATTTTTTTATTAATTATTGTAATTTATTGTTTCTTTTTCGTCAATTTCAAACAATATATGTTGTTAATTGATAGATTTTTTGGAGTGGACTATTTTTTTATTAATTATTGTAATTTATTGTTTCTTTTTCGTCAATTTCAAACAATATATGTTGTTAATTGATAGAATAATTTTAATGTAATTTTTTTAAAAAAATATGTGTGACTTTTTTTATATGTCTCTTTAATATATTAAGTTGTTAATTATTGTATTTTATAGTACATTTTGAACCTAATTTTTTAATAATATATGTTATTTGCCATGTCCCAATTTATGTGGCATTAATTGATAGATTTGTTGGAGTCGAGAGATTTATTTTGTTAATTATTGTAATTTATAGTTTCTTTTTCGTCAATTTCAAACAATATATGTTTATCATATAATCCATTTTATGTGGTACCAATAGAATTTAGAGAGTTAATTAAATTTTTTATATAAGTTTTAAATAATTAAGCTGTTAATTATTATAATGTATAGTATTACTTATATTATTTGTAAATATATTTAAATATTATATGTTAGGTTTTTTATCCTAATTTATATGGCATTGATAGAATTTAAAGTGTCAAATAATTGTTAATTATTGTAATAGATAATATGGAGTATTTAAGTCATTTATAGTATAGTAATTAATATATAATATGTAGTATTTAAGTGTTATATTATGGAATTTGAGAAGTTATTGAAATTTTTATATGATTTTAAAAATATTTTAAATTGTTAGCTATTGTGATTTGTAGTACTTTTTTTTTACATAATTTTGAAAATAATATTTATTACTCTGTTTGTTCTAATTTATGTGGCAGATGCATAATTTCAAATATTAACCCTTTTTTATATGTCTCTTTAATATATTAAGTTGTTAATTATTGTATTTTATAGTACATTTTGAACCTAATTTTTTAATACTATATGTTATTTGCCATGTCCCAATTTATGTGGCATTAATTGATAGATTTGTTGGAGTCGAGAGATTTATTTTGTTAATTATTGTAATTTATAGTTTCTTTTTCGTCAATTTCAAACAATATATGTTTATCATATAATCCATTTTATGTGGTACCAATAGAATTTAGAGAGTCAATTAAATTTTTTATATAAGTTTTAAATAATTAAGCTGTTAATTATTATAATGTATAGTATTACTTATATTATTTGTAAATATATTTAAATATTATATGTTAGGTTTTTTATCCTAATTTATATGGCATTGATAGAATTTAAAGTGTCAAATAATTGTTAATTATTGTAATAGATAATATGGAGTATTTAAGTCATTTATAGTATAGTAATTAATATATAATATGTAGTATTTAAGTGGAAGGTGGTGGGGCCCACTTAAATAGTTTGATAAATATATTGGATATTAGTAGTGATTTTTAGTATAGTAATTAATATATAATATGTAGTATTTAAGTGTTATATTATGGAATTTGAGAAGTTATTGAAATTTTTATATGATTTTAAAAATATTTTAAATTGTTAGCTATTGTGATTTGTAGTACTTTTTTTTAACATAATTTTGAAAGTAATATTTATTACTCTATTTGTTCTAATTTATGTGGCACATGCAAAATTTTAAATATTAGCCCTTTTTTATGTCTCTTTAATATATTAAGTTGTTAATTATTGTATTTTATAGTACATTTTGAACCTAATTTTTTAATAATATATGTTATTTGCCATGTCCCAATTTATGTGGCATTAATTGATAGATTTGTTGGAGTCGAGAGATTTATTTTGTTAATTATTGTAATTTATAGTTTCTTTTTCGTCAATTTCAAACAATATATGTTGTTAATTGATAGATTTTTTGGAGTGGACTATTTTTTTATTAATTATTGTAATTTATTGTTTCTTTTTCGTCAATTTCAAACAATATATGTTGTTAATTGATAGATTTTTTGGAGTGGACTATTTTTTTATTAATTATTGTAATTTATTGTTTCTTTTTCGTCAATTTCAAACAATATATGTTTATTATATAATCTATTTTATGTGGTACCAATAGAATTTAGAGAGTCAATTAAATTTTTTATATAAGTTTTAAATAATTAAGCTGTTAATTATTATAATGTATAGTATTACTTATATTATTTGTAAATATATTTAAATATTATATGTTAGGTTTTTTATCCTAATTTATATGGCATTGATAGAATTTAAAGTGTCAAATAATTGTTAATTATTGTAATAGATAATATGGAGTATTTAAGTCATTTATAGTGTAGTAATTAATATATAATATGTAGTATTTAAGTGTTATATTATGGAATTTGAGAAGTTATTGAAATTTTTATATGATTTTAAAAATATTTTAAATTCATAACTATATATTTCAATGTACAAGATTTTGATAAAATAAAATCTTTAAAGTTAAATTATAATGTTTTTGAAATTTAAATTATTAAAACATATATAATGATTTTATAGAAAAAATAATATCATATAAAATTAAATGAAAAGGATAATAAATTCAACTTTTACCATGATAAGGTTGAAAAATATTATTTAAGTGGAAGGAGGTGGGGCCCACTTGTATATTTTATATAGTAAGTATTGAACATTTGTAGAGATCTTATTGGCACAATGGTAGTCATTTCCTAGAGTCTTCTAATATATAGTAATGTAACTTGATTGTGGAATTAATTTACATGTGTCACACTTGTAAATGTATCAAACTTTGGTCTTTGACTAAGTTTGAATGTATTGGACATTAAATATAAGTTGATTAAGATATGTTGGACTTGTTGATTGAGTTTAGATTGAATAATAATCGAATACAAGGAGTATCAAAAAATATTTTTTTTGAAAGAATAATCAACTTACGAGTTTTTAATATAAAAATTTCCTGAATTAATTTCATTATAGTCCTTAATATACCTTTTAATATATCAAATGTTCCAACTCCACTTATAAATGAGATAAAGTCATTTTTCAATCAAAAGTTATAAAATAGTTGTTCATTGGTGAAATATCAGAATATTATTATGAAGTTTAATTTTAATTATAAAATTCAAATTTTATAATAATTATTATTTTTCAATTTCAAAACTGAATAGTGACTAATCGAATGTGAAGTGCAGTATAATTTGTTTCAAATATATAAAAGTGGATCCAACAAGTTTTGATGTCGATAATATTTGCTTATAGTTGAGGACATTTCAAGGATAATATCATTTTTGATCTCTGAATTATAGATATATTTTGATTCTTTTTTCTTGTGGTATTTGACGCAGTACATTAAGTTTTTAATTAATAGAGAAGTGTTTTTTTTTCTTTTTGTAACAATTATGTTGTATTTAAATTGCTTTTAGAACTAAATTGTCGTTAAATATGGAGTAACAAAACAAGCTTAGTATAACACATGAATAATTAAGAGGTGAAATGATTAATAATTTTGATAAATTTGTGAATTATCCGGAACCAAAGAGATAAAAAACGCACATTTTAAGTAATTAGAGGATAAATGTGTTTAGTTAAATATTGCACGAATCAAAATTAAAATTTACCAATAATTGAAGGATTAAATATATCCACACCTTTTCATACAAATAAATCAATTTCTTATTTTTAGTTTTAGCATTTCTATCCGACCACATGAAATTTATTCATAACATCAGTTCTAGTATTTAAATTTTTGGAAGACCCAATTTTTTGAAATTTGAAAATTCTTTGAAGACAATTTTTTAAAAGGTCAAATATATATTTAAAGACAATTTTTCAAAATCTGATTATGGTCAAATATATTTTTAGAGATAAATTTTTAAAAATTGATTCAAAATTTATGGTCAAACATATATTTAAAGATATTTTTTTAAAATCTAACTCAAAATTTATGGTAAACATATATTTAAAGATAATCTTTAAAATTTTGATTCAAAATCTATGGCCAAATATATATATATTTAAAGATAAATTTTCAAACTCTAATTCAATCTATGGTCAAATATATATTTAAAGATAAATTTTAAAATTTAATTCAAAATCTATGAATAAAATTTTCAAATCTAATTTAAAACTATGATCGGCAAACGCTAGCTTAAAATTTAAAATGCCTGGAAGGTTATATTGGGCCTCTAGTGGGCCAATACAAAACCAAGCCCATGTTTTAAGCCTTAAACAATGGTCCAAATGCTATCACAAATTAAAATAAGAAATTAAAAAAAATCCAAGAATTTGCAAAGTTCTTATTTTGTGAGAAAATGACCCCTTATATTTGAAAATATATTCAAAGTAGTCTCTTAAGAATGAATTTAACATTTTTTATTATTTCTTTTACGTTACTAAAAGTTACTGCAGTCTCCATAACATATTTATCAAGTTCTATCCGCTAGATTTGGCGAAAATAATATTCAATAAGATGTAACAGTAAACATCAAGAAATTCTCGTCAAATTTTAAAATACGTAACGCTATAAGATACACTAAATACTAAAAAGATATAGAGAAAATGTCAAATCTAAGCGACAGAATTTGATAAATATTTGACGAAAGACTAAAAATATTAACTTTTGACAAACTTAAAAGATCAAACTTATTAAATGCATAGTTAAAGGAACTATTTTGAACATGTCTCAAACAAAAGTGACTATTTTTGTCAATTTCTCCTTCTTTTGTGGTCTCCTTGCTTCTCTCTCCCATCAGTTTTTTTCAATGAGCTTACCTTTTCGCCATTGAAGTAAGGTAAGCACCTTTTCTCTCCTGCTGAACCCCACCCCCACCCTCCTTTTGGGGGTTCTTGAAATGGTTTTTTCTTGTTTCTTTCTTTTGAATTGAGTCGTAGATTGTATAAAGATTGGATTTTTAATTTTGTTATTTGGGTGTTTTTTTTTGTATAGAATGAATTTTTATTGGATTTTTGAACTTGGGTGTTGTTTGGTAGCAAGATTAGAGTGTTTATTTTGATGTATTGAATATAGAGATGAATGAAGCTATATTGTATTGTGTGTTTTGTTGGTACTCTGAATTGGTATGTCTGCTTTTCATCTCTTTGTGGTAGTGATTGGGAAAAAAATGTAACTTGGTAGGTATCCCGTGAAATTAGTCAAGGTGTGAGCTAGCTTGTGTGATTAAGCTGACCAATTTTGTATCTTGTATAGTTTTTTATCTGTTTAGGTAGCATGATTGGGATGGAGTTAACATTGAGATTTGAGAAATAGAATAGATTAGATTACTCAGAAGTATATTTAAAGAAGGTTAAGTGTCTAAGTTTCGCCTGTCTCCAAAGAGACGGTTGAGTGATTGATACATAGGAGTAACAACCTAAATATCCCAAGCTTGAATTACAGCTAAAGGCAATTAGTGTGAGCCCTTTTGCTTCAACCTCGGTGGGCAGGTTATGAATTAGTCAAAGTGTGCGCAAGCTTATCCTATTGTCATAAAACAAAATACATAGTGAGTCCTTTTTTGTTCATAAGACCGTCATTATGTTGGATATCAGTGAATATGTTCATTAAGTGACTTAAGAAGACCCATGAAATGTGTTTGCACATATTGTATGCTGTGATTGTGTGCTGGTTTATTCCTATGTTCAAAAGAGAGAGTTAAAGAGATAGAGGAGGACCATGAGGGGGGATTCAACTAAGAAATGCTACTAATTTATAGTGCGTTGGGTTTCTCAAAAAAAAAAAAAAAAAAAAGGGTGGGGGGCTTCAGATTCTCATGGTTGAGCAATCTTTAGCAAATGAAAAACTCCTTATTATGGTCGCTTGAGGTGAAATCAGCTTTTATAATTGGATGACAAAAATATTGATGTTTGCTTTTCTTATCAAAATGGAAAGAGAAAAGGCTGATGTTTGTCAACTTACTAAGAATATGTCATCATGCAGCATAATACCTCGTAGACCTGAGATTTTATAGTTTCATTTGTTTATGTCAATATAGATAGGCCGTTTTTGTTTATCCTACAAATCCCTATGATTCATCAGCCTAGATAGTTGACATATACAACGTAAACACGGATCTTCCAATCTCCAATGGTTTTAAATGCTGCGTGAAAGTTTAGTTTGTGATTTGGCTAATGAACAATCTTTGGTAAGAAAAAGTTGATATTCATCATGTCAGTCCCTCTGAATCCCCCTGCCCGTCCTGCCTATCCTTCTCCGATCTCACAGGCACGCCACACGAGGTCCTTATTTTGGATCGCCACCAGGTGCATCGCTGAGTCATGGAGACAAGGAGTGAAAATGAACCAGAAGTAGACATCAAGGCATCAGAAATAAAATATGTTAGCTATGGAGGTGAACATCATCTACCTCTTATCATGAACCTTGTTGACGAAGAGCTCAGTGAGCCCTACTCCATCTTCACTTACCGCTACTTTGTCTATCTTTGGCCACAACTGTCTTTTATGGTACTACTACGACTCCTTTGTCATATTAGTTATGTTATATTTCATCAGGAGCATAACTCTTTCTTCATTACTGAGATATTTGCAGGCCTTCCATAAGGGGAAATGTATAGGGACGGTGGTCTGCAAGATGGGAGAGCATCGTGGTACGTTCAGAGGTTACATTGCGATGCTTGTGGTGCTTAAGCCTTACAGAGGCAAAGGAATCGGTCAGTCTCTTATCGCTCTTTGTTTGATACATTGATAATGGCCTTTAATTCCTATTTGTCCACTATTTTAGAACTATAGATGATGTCTATAGAGTGACACTCTCTTCATGTACCTGGATAAGCATATTGTTTTTCCCTGAGGAATTTCTTAATTCTGAGTCGCTGTAATGAAGCAGGTTGGTTTTGTGTTTGATTGAATCAACATTAATCGGATTTATATTTCGGTTGAAGTATCTTGTGTTGCTGAATGAGTCTGAGATTTCTCCCATGGTACAAAACCAAAAGTACAGTTTTTTTTTTATAACCGTGGTGTACGCACTTTGACTAATTCCACGGGATAGTGCCACCTCCCACCACCAACAGGCTCTTATTTTTCTGATCCTTCATTTAGTTGTCTTTGAAAAAGGTATTTCTCGCTAAAAAGAACTTCCCACTCATAGTTATCACAATGACAATTGTATCTCTTTTCCCTTTTTTTTGTTTCCTCTTTCCATCAAAATCTTCTCACCCCTTACCCCCCAAAGCACAAGAAACCTCCCTATTTCGTTGCTGTCTCCTCTGCTTGAGGTACACTCTTTGTATTCTCTTTTACACATTGAAGTCTAATTCAACAGCCATAAGCAACCTGACCCCATATTGAAAAAGTTTTTCTTACGGTGGGCCTAGATGTGGTTGCGAGGTTATATAGATTGAAAATGAGTTTTGGTTGATTAGTTTGCCGTTGCTTGATGTGGTGTGGCTGCTGAAGGTCAGCGTACACTCTACCCTTCCCAGACCTCACCTGTGGGATTTACAGTTGGTACCTTGTTGTTATTGGTGGAGGTATGGCTGCTGAATCTGAAAGAAAGGGGAAAAAGAAAGTATATGCGTGCATGCCTAGCACTAAGTACAATGTATGAAAGAGATAATAGAGAAAAATAAACAAAAAGAAGCTCCGGGTGGTAATCCTGGTTCAGCTGGTTTTCTGGGTATTTTCACTGATTAAGTGCTTTCTACTTTATGACTTTACATATCCATATTAACTTTGATATTTCATCTTCCAGCTACAGAACTTGTCACGAGATCAATCAAGGTGATGATGGAATCTGGTTGTGAAGAGGTATGTCACAACATTCTGAAACATTCATATTAGCGACTTTAAGACTGCCGATGTGAGAAATATAAATATAATGGCCACGGTATCAAAGATGTTAACTGTCTATTCTGGTTGTACAAGCTCAAGTAGGCCATTCTTTGTGACTTGCTGCACGTCATCAGAGTATGCATATTGGCCTGATAAGCAGAACTATATGTTCAGTGCATTTCTGCTGTTTGAACTAAATCTGACCTCTTAAGATTTCCTATACTTTTTCACATGGTGTTTTCTTCCAAACCACCCTCCACCTTCTCCCAGATATAAAATTTATGTTTTCTTACAGGAACCATGAAGAACAATGTATCCAAAACGAAAACGTCACAGATTTTTTGACTAAGGAATTTTGTTTGCTTAGGCTTGTAAGAAGTTTGAAATATGATAACACGGAACAAAAGATGGATCGAAAAAATTCCTGTGTGTTTAACAGTCATCATGCATTTATAACCATAAGGTTCTTTACTTAGGCTTGTTGGAGGTGGAGACTAAGAAATGACTTAATAATGCTTGGGATCAAATCCCTCAGAGACAAAAAGATACTAGGTGATTTCTTTCCCTCCGCTTAAGTCATGGTGGCAGAGTTATTTGATTCTTCTGTTAGTGGGAGGCAGCAAGTACCCGGTGAGATAATCAAGGTATGCTCAGGTTGGCCCGGATACCATCATTATACTTAAAAAAGAAAGAAAACATAAATGATTTAATGATGAAAACCACCTTGATAAGATTAGATACTTCATGATTATCGATCTTGCCTGCTGTTTTCTACAAATCAAGAGCTGAAATGTGTTATCTGCTTACTTGGTTTACGTTGCCTATTTTTTTATTTTGGGGATAGTTAAGTTTGTCATGTTTAAAAGACATAGAATCGAATGGACAAAGCACCATAGCGTCATGATATATTATCTTGCCATGGCTTGTTTCCACTCAATTTGTTCCTATGTTCTACAGGTGACTTTGGAAGCAGAAGTTACGAATAAAGGAGCACTCGCTTTATATGGCCGTCTTGGATTTATTAGAGCAAAGAGACTTTTTCGTTATTATTTGAATGGTGTAGATGCTTTCCGGCTCAAGCTATTGTTTCCTCGCGTAGAACCACAGCCCTTTAATTCCATGGCAGATGCTGGTGATGAGAGCCTTGAGTATAATGAGCACATACATTGTGGAGAAAATCCCCCTTGTTGCCAACACAACATGTAAACTGAATATTCTGATTAAACAGGTAACTTGTGCCTACATTGCTCAGACTCTTCAAAAATATCGACAGGTGTGTGTCGTGCACTCCAAAAGTACTGCATTTGGGAGAATCCAACATGGGTACGACAACACTTTTGGAGAGTCCAAATGCCAAAGAGACCACATTAGACCGCCTTTTTCTCGTTATAATCCCAATTTTGGTAGATGTTTTTTGTTTTGTGAAGTTGTAGAAACTGAGGTCTTCTTTGCTGGAAGGTATAGTCATCAATCACTTGAGTATTGATGCATCTATTCTCTGAAAAACTGTTTAATGAGCTCTGCTTTCAGTTTTCATCCCCTAAATCAACAGGAAATTCGAGATACACATCGTGTTTTACGAGACGTTTGATCATGTTCAAGCAGGGAATCGTAGTCGAGATAGAACAGTTATGCTTAATGGCCTTCACTCGATGTTTATATTAAGTCAATAAATGCATGACATGTATTTTCTCCATCCTTTTTCATAACAGAACAAGAACATACTTATTTGAAGTTGCTGGATGAGAATACAAATACTAAAAATGAAGAGAGAAAAAAAAGGCACAATCATCAAAATACATTTAAAGTATTATATTTTTTGTGAGTTTCATATCTGCACCATTAAGTGTTCGCGTTTTCTATTTGAATTATTATCAACAATTTATTAAAACACCTCAAAATTCGACTAAACCAAGTGTTTGAATACAATCTTGCACAAAGCACAAATACTCACAATTCTTATGATAAAAAAACATTGAATTCTTGAAAAAAAAAATCATGAAAATATTTTTTTGAAAATTACTCATTTACCCTTATTGTTTCAACCAATGAGGACAAAACAGTCATTTACAATCAAATGACAGCAATCACATCTATGTGACTCAGATTTATACACGATGAACATAAAAAAAAACACAAAACAACTCCCTATTTTTCATCACACAATTATTAGTTCATTGATGAGTACCATGGGAGTAGCAAGTGCATTTTCATGGACAAATTCCATTTCTTCTACTATTCAATTCCCTCAAGCTCACACTCAATTAATTGTATGTATCATCAAAGTGTTTAATTTCTCAATTTTATTGTTTTTATCATTCATTTATCTTTTTTGATTCTATTGAAAATAGGGAGGTGAGTCTAAAAGAGTTACATTTTGGTGTGTGAATGCAAACATGGACTCTGCTTCATCTCCCAAGGTACAATCCACATTTACTCAATTTATTCTTTTTCTCATATGTGAAAGCTAAATTTGGTTATACTTTGTGGATATAAGTTTTAGATATTACTCCCTCTGTCCCAATTTATGGGTCTTAGTTTGACTGGACACAGAGTGGTTGAGAACTTCGAGGTCTCAGGTTCAAAACTTAGTGGAGCCAAAAATACTAGGTGAATCTTCCCATCTATCCTAGCCTTGGTGGACAGAGTTACCTGGTACATGTTATCGGTGGGAGGTGGTATGTATCCAGTGGATTTAGTCGAGGTGCGCGAAAGCTTGGCCTGGACACCATGGTCATCAATGTATAATGTTGGAATTGGAAAACTTAGTAAATATAGAAAGAGATGTCTTTTTTTGGGACAGACCTAAAAGGAATGTAAGACACTTAAATTGGGACGAAGGGACTAGAGTAATTAGTAGTAAATTTTTTTCGTGTTTTAATTTTTGGTGCAGATGATGATTTCTGATGACAAACTATTAATCTAGTGATGTAACAATGCTTAGGTTAACCGTTATCGGAGAGGACATTTACCTCTTTCTTTTACTGGTTCAGGAAAGTAAGATGATTGTATCAGTTACTGGAGCTACTGGTTTTGTTGGGAAAAGATTGGTGCAAAGATTGCATGCAGGTATACCAACTACTTCTTCGTTACTATGGTTTTGATCTTCGTATAAATATATATATTCCGTCCAACTCAATTTACGTGGCAATATTTGATTGTACCAACTAGAGACTAAATGTACCAATCTAAATCAAACTATTTGTTTCTCTACCAAGTTAAGCCTACAATAAGTCAAAGTCACCAACAACAACATACCTATTGTGATACCACGAGTGAGTCTAGGGAGGGTAGAGTGTATGCAAACCTTACCCCTACCTTGCGAGGTAGAGAGATTGTCTCTAATAGACCCTCGGTTCAAGGAATAAGTCAAAGTCAGAGTCAATTACTATATCGGAATGTAAAAGGACTAGTTTCCAAATGCACATATCATTTAAAGGAAAGAATGCTAATTAATTGGAATGTAGGGAGTATCGATAAACATATAGTAAATGTGTCTGTTTGTGTGTGTATTACTTGAGCTGTAGGCTGAGGATGTGCACACACGTGCTTCCTTCATTATCGGCCTGCCCATGCTTCGTTATATAGTTCTTAATTATGAGTCTGCATTCAACACACGGTTGCTAATTGGATACACCACTATGGGCTGTTCTTGAGTTAACACTTCTATTTATGAGACATTGTCATACATGAAGCTGTTCCGAATTTTAACGTACCATGAAATGTGACTTTTTCCCAAGGATGCGTCACATAACTGCTATTGTAGAAAAAGCAGGTTGTTAGTTAAAACTTAAACTGGTCATTCTAAATGCAGATAATCATCAGATTCGAGTGTTGACAAGGTCAAGATCCACAGCACAATCAATATTTCCGGGTAAGAAGGTAATGATTGTTTTGATTCACCCATTGTACTTTAGCATTATTCTTTCTTCTGTGGAAATAGTTGAGATTGTTCTGTAAGTAGAATCTTTCCGTCCTTCAAGAACTCCCTTGCTTTTTACGGTTTATAATTCTCAAGGCGATTTTGCCGCTCTTTTTGTCCTGCTACATTCTTTTGTTTGATTTTATACATGAAACAGTATGTTGAAAGTTGTAACTCTACTGTTTTTCCTGATCATGCTTCCAAAAATGTACAGTAAAAGAGTTTCCGGGAATTGTAATTGCCGAGGAGCCAGAGTGGAGAAACTGCATTGAAGGTTCAACAGCTGTTGTGAATTTGGCCGGAACGTCCATTAGTACTAGATGGTCATCTGAGGTATTAGGACGACTTTCTTTTCTCGTTTCAATTTGTTTGTCTTACTTTCCTTTTTATACATCCTATGCATTAGTATTACTTTATATCTTCTATGTGACTAATGATCAGTCGTTCATTCATGTATCAACTTTTCAATGTAATGCTGCAGATCAAGAAGGATATCAAGCAAAGCAGGATTAGAGTAACCTCCAAGGTCTCCCTCATAGCATAGTGAAAGACGCGAATTCATTGTAAGAATTTATCTATAACAACAAATGATATGAGCAAGAATCTGAGAAACGTCGATTGATCCTGCAGGTTGTAGAGTTAATCAATAATTCAAAGGATGATGCCCGTCCCAAAGTTTTAATAAGTGCAACAGCAGTTGGTTATTATGGTACGGGTGACCAAATTCATGTTTTGCTTTATTTCTCTGTTCCTATGTTATGCATCATTATTTACCTTCCAAAGAACTTCCATACCATGTTGCTAAAAGCGTTAAGCTGAATATCCTCGTGTTACGATAATCTGTCATTTCTGGTAAAAGCTTCAGTAAAGTTGAGCCACGCCATCTGATAAATCTACTTACTACCTTAATTAGGAACCAGTGAGACTCAAGTGTTTGATGAGAAAAGTCCATCGGGAAATGACTACTTGGCTGAGGTAAATATAACAGTTGCATACATATAGAACATGTTATATGTTTTTAATCTTCATGTTCGATTTCTTTGCATCATGATTTCTTTCAGGTTTGTAGAGAATGGGAGGCAGCTGCTCTCAAAGTCAATAAGGATGTTAGGCTTGCTCTAATTCGTATTGGCGTTGTCCTTGGAAAAGATGGTGGTGCTTTAGGTAGTATGCTTTCTTTCTTTTCCTATCAATAACAACTTTAATAGCCTGTTTTGCCTAGCTTTTGGATTATGATGTTTAGCGTCAAAATGCCTTTTTTTGTTTTCCCACTCAGTTAAATGCAAATTCAGCTGTGACAGAACATGGCATATCTTTAATATTTTGATGCTTAACATTGTTAAAATCTTTCGATTTTCCTTTCTGCAGCTAAAATGATTCCTCTCTTCATGATGTTTGCTGGTGGACCTTTGGGCTCTGGAAAGCAATGGTACTCCCCTTCAATTTTTGTCCATGTTATAAGTGTTTCCCATTACGGATCAGAGATGTTATATTCGTCTGTTTGAGTTTTAGTCCTAAGTTACCAAGGACATGACCTTAGATAGGAGGGTCTAGAGGTCGGGGATTAGGATAGAAGATTAGTTGAGCATTCTCTTGCTTTCTTGCGGGATAGGCTTGGTGGTTGTACTTAGACCTCCTTTCTTATGGGTTGTATTAGTACTATTCAGTGTTTTTTTGTTCTTCGATTAGCGCATTATTTTATTGTCATTCTGTTCATTCCTTTGTATATTGTGTACTGCCCTTCATTTCACATTATTTCGTTGTTGTTATTGCTCTTATATTTGTATTCCCTTTGTCAAACTGCTTGGATATGCTTTATTTTAAGACGAGGATATATTGGAAACAACCTCTCTATCTCTACAAGGTAGGGGTAAGGTCTGCATACACTCTATCCTCCGCATACTCCACTTGTGGGATTATTCTGTGTATGTTGTTGTTGTTGATTTCCCATTCTCACTTGATAGATTCTACTGGCTTCATTTCACAGGTTTTCTTGGATTCATCTCGATGACCTCGTGGATTTGATATACGAAGCTTTATCCAATCCATCCTATAAAGGTAAAATCATTGCCAGGCATCTATACTATGGATTTCGATCCTAATATTTTTGTCTGAACAGTATAGTTGAAGAAATAACATGTAATGAATTCATATAGTCAACTGATAACGTAGTCGTGCAATGGCAGGGGTGATAAATGGAACAGCACCAAATCCTGTACGTCTGGGAGAAATGTGTGAACAACTAGGATCCACGTTAGGAAGACCTTCGTGGCTACCAGTACCAGAAATTGCACTGAAAGCTGTCCTTGGAGAGGGTGCATCAGTGGTATGATATTTGTAACCTCAACTTATTAGTACTTATTTGTCTGTATTGATCGGAAACAGCCTCTCTACCTCTCAAGGTAGAGCTAAGGTCTGCGTACACTCTACTCTCCCCAGACTCCACTGGGTACGTTGTCGTTGATAATGCTAGAGTAATGTGTATTTCAGGTGTTGGACGGACAAAAGGTGGTTCCAACGAAGGCTAAGGAGTTGGGTTTTTCGTTCAAATACCGATATATCAAAGACGCGTTGAAAGCAATCATGTCATGAGACTCATCAACCATCAACCCATATTCATTTCAATGGCCTGGAAACGGAACGAAAACACGAATAATTTCTTCTTCTTCCTCTTCTTCTTGTCTGGGCATATGAGTTTTTTTCCTTATTTTTGATGT